GGGAATTAAACGAGTGCACACGGGCAAAACAGTGCTAGAAAATGGCTAGCATGGCCCCTCGGAGCCCTCCAGGGCACCTGACCTCTCCCAAGGGAGGACCTGCACCCGGTGTTTCCTTAGCAGGGGCCGGGACTGCAGAGCTCTGCTCCGAGGGCAGCGAGCACAGGCGCCCTGCTGCACAAGCGGCAACACCTCGTTGCCACCGAGCACTTACACGCCTTCTGCGGGTGCCCATTCTCTCGGAAGGCATGCCCGAGTCATGCTATGCTCCGCTGATGGGGCCCCGGCGCACCCCACCCCTACCTGTGGTTCGCAGCGAGTCCATCACCTACAGCTGTCACCACATCACAAGTTCCACAAAACCAAGACAAGAACTTGCCTCTGTGCGCACAACCACACCTACGCTGCGACTCAGCAGCTGCAGCGAGCGCCCAGAAGCCAGGCAGGGAGGCGGCAGACATCCTGGAGGCTGGCACTGGGCGAGGCTCTTCTCAAGGCTGCAGTGTCTCCACTGTGGAAGCAGAGAAGGCAGCTGCTCCCTCAGTTTCTGGGGGTGACTGAGGTTGGTGCTCAGAAATCCCTCTCTCAGAAAGGCGCCTGGCTGCTGTGGGGAGGTGGACATGAGGGAAGTGTACCGTCCTCTGGCCCGTGGGCTCCAGGCAGACAGCTCAGCATGGTCCCCAGAGCTCCTGGTGCCCACCTGACACTGCAAGGTGGTGACAGTGTCTACATTGCGGTTCAGCGCTCTGAAAGTGCTACGCAGGAGGCCAGGTGAGGCTTGGCTTCAGGGTTCACCCCAAGCATGTGGGGTAACTTTTCACATAGCTGATACAACAAGGACCCCAAATCCTAAGACCAAAGTCACTTCCAGAGCTGCCAAGCATCCCTTGAGGCCCTGAGCTCCCCAGCCAGGAGGCACCAGAGAGGTCTGGACACCCAGGGTGCCCCTCCCAAGTGGGCAAAGGCCCGATGGGCGATGGCCAGCCCAGTGCCTGCAGTCACCAACCAGGCCTTGCCTTGTACTGAGTGCATGGCTCGGAACTGCAGAGCACACAGTTGTCAGAAACCACAGCAAACAGCACGGACCCTGCAGGGGACACAGGAAAGCACTGAGCCAAGCTGCACACGGTGCTGTGGCGGCCCTCTCCGCCCACCCTCAGCCCTGCCTGGCCCTCTGTACATGTGCAGGAAAGACCAACCGGGTGCCGCTCACACCCTGTTCTCACTCAGCTGGTGGCCAGGCTTGAGGGCCCTTAGCTTTTCCATCCGTGGCTGGAGTTGGTGGTAAGCATGTGAGCGGGGGTCCTGGTGCTGGGCCGAAGGTCCCCATGCACTGCTCAGCCTCAGGCCTAAGGAGCGGGAGCAAGGGCTCTGCCCTGCCTTTCGGCTGGAAGCAGAGCTTTCGCCCTTTGCGTGGGTGCTCTGGCTCACCTTTCAGGCCTCAGTCAGGTGGTCTCGGAGCTCTCTGGGGCTGGACAAGGACATGACACAGATGTCTACGTGCACCTTTTTCTCAGCATCAAGCCTCAGGGGATGCGTCAGGCATTTCTTCCTAAGCACCTCCCTCCTTCACAAACTTCTCAGGCTGCAAGGGACTGAGTGTCTTTGTGGGCCACACGTGCCTCTGGGGATCACAAGCCTCCACCACCTAGGGCTGCATGCTCTCCAAGCACCAGCGCCCCTGCCTGAGCAACACCTTCCTTGCTGTGGTCCCAGGGTGAGTGGGCTTAGTCTGCAGCATGTGCTGGGCACCCACAGCAGCAGATGCCTGGAGAGGCCCAGACCCCCACAGAGGAGCTGTCCCACTCGCCCCATACAGCCAGGCCCTGGCCCCACGGCATTCCTTAGTGTCCCCAGCCAGCAGGGTTCTCGGCCACAAGCCCACTTCACGCCTGAACTGCAGTTCCATCAACATGCGCTTGAGGAGAAGCATGCAAACACATACTGGTATCAGTGATGAGGGCAAGTGCTGAGCAAGGCCAACGGCGAAGGCAGATGTGGCTTGCTGTGGTGGCTTTGGACGGGGAGATGGAGCCCGAGGGCCCCAGGACCCTGCAGGAAGCTGACAGGATAAGCAGGAGCCTAAACAAAGAGGGATGGATTATGCCCAGTCCTGGGTGCAGGCTGGCAAGGGTGGCCCCCTGGACGGGCGCAGGGCGCAGCTCCAGCCAGAGGAGCTAAGCCTAAGGCATCAGGGCTTCACATTTTCCGAGAGTTCTGTGAAATCTAATTTCTAAATATGGGCTCAAAAGCATGAGGGGCTAAAAGGAGTCGTACCTGCAGGCAGCAGGAGGCCGCACATGCACTCTGCTTAGAGTGATGAGCACAGAAAGCCCGTCATCTGTGAGGAGCAGGCAGCGGGGCTCAGCCTCCCAGAGGCCACGGCAAGAAGCACAGGAGCTGCCTGCCACACGTAGCACGCAGGTGAGGCCCAGACCAACAGACCACGCATCGGGCACAAGGAGGCTGAAGCCTTGGGAGCGCCATGCCCGCTACCCAGAGAGGGGTGAGAAGCACTCTTCTACCCCAGGCCGGGCGGTGTGGCTGTGCCCCACGACGCGACATCTAGAAGCCACCCTTAATCTCCATGCTCTTACCCGCTCCACCCATGTAGTGATGGCACATTTTCCATCTTTAGACAATGCAGAGCTGCCAAGCTACCATTCCCTACTGCAGCAAGACAAAACAGCTAAGGTTTTAGCCAGTGTCACGTGACAAGTGAAGTCCTGTGCACCCCACAGGGCTTTGAGGTGGCGCAGGGCCTTCTACACAGTGCTCAACGCCACGGAGCTTTGCCCACCATGAGCTGCGGGCTCCCCGCATGCACCCTGTTGCTGCTGTTTGCTTTTCCTGTTTCGACTGTCATAAACACTCATCAAAGCCCTGTGCTGCCAGTGAGCGTGAACTGAGAACGCAGTGTCACTCGGAGACAAGCACAGGGTAAGACAAGCGGGGCCGCGCAGTCAGGGAGAGGTGGGGTGAAGGGCAACCCGCGATGCACACCCAGCAGCAAGGAAGTGGCTGGGCTTCTGTGCCCCTCATTTAAAGTCTGAGCGCTGTGTTCCCAAGACCTGTGGCTTCTCGTGAATGTTTCATTAAGTGCTAAAACCCGAAAAGGAAAATCGCTGAGCCATTAGACACCCTCAGCACTCTACTTCTGATAGTACTGATATAAAAGGTAATAAACCTCATAGACAGTGGGCTGTCTGAGGCTGGGACTTCCCCATTCACGCCGTGTGGCTGCAGGCCCAGGCAGCCCACTGAATGTCCTTTTAGCCACACAGAACTACACAGCTGACCCATCCAGGAGCCAACACAGCAGGCCTCGATCCTAACAGACCACAGGTTTTCTGATTTTCATCTCTGGTTTCTCTAAGCTTCCAGCACCCTGGGTGCTACAGAACTGAAATGGGCCTACAACCAAAGTCTACAGGAAGTCAGCTTCTGTGCTGGCCGAGGCCAGGGTGGGCCTGAGGAAGAAGCCCAGGGACAGCAGGAGAGGCTGGAGGCGGCCTGGCCAGTGCTGCTCCGAGAGGGGACCTGCACCACGCTCCATCAAGGTGGGAACACCCAGGAGGCAGCAGCAGGTCTCATGGCTGCCGAATGCGGTCTGCTCTGTCTTCTGCCTGGGGTTATCTGCTCTGTTAATTTGATATACTAGACTACCGTCATTTATGACACTTAGTGATTATTAATGGGAGCGGCCCTTGAATTTTTCAATTAACTTGATTTCTAAAATAAATTTCTAATAAACTTATACTGAGCTTCTCTTTAATTTTAAGAAAGGAAAATCTCAAAGTCTGATTCCAAGTCTGCAGCGCTCCCAAGCTGGGAGCCCTGGGGCTTGATCAGGTCTCAGCAGGGAAGGTGGGGGACAGGGTGTGGGTGGAAGCTCTGGCACTGTGGGTGGTGCAGGGTGCCCTTCGTGGCCACTGCCCGGGACAATGCAAAACCCTGATGAGCCCATGAGTCTTCCGGTGGGACACTCATTGTGGGCCTCTGCTAGAAGCGGATCAACTAGGGCGGAAGTGGACTCAGGCGCCCTTACCCAGGTGGAGAGTGGTGCGGTGACCCTGGGTTTCTGGCTCCTCCTGAACAGGTGAGGTGGACAGTGAGGAGGCTGCTGACCCCAGAGTGCACTTCCCTGTTACCTCCAGTAAAGCCCAGCTACCACCCCCTTCCTGGCCTGCTCTACCATTATACACACACACACACACACACACACACACCCATGCATTTCTGCTTCCACTGCCTCCTTGTGCACCCAAGACTCAGCGAGCTCTGCCGGCATCCCCATGGCTCTGGGCTCCAGGACCAGGGCGCCTCCCTGACACTGCTGGAACACAGATCAATGCCTCTTCCTGAAAGCCTCCATCTCATATCTCAGAGGCAGTATGTAAGCTCAGTACTTTCAGAAAGAAAAATGATTAACAACAAAAGCAAAAATTAAGCCAACAAAACAAGCTACCCAAGGAAGGGCAGGCTTCTAAAGGAGGAATAGCACCAAATCATCTTACAATTCTTTTTTTTTTTTTTTTTTTTTTTTTTGGTGGAACCGGGGATTGAACTCAAGCCCCTGCACTTGCCAGGGAAGCACTTATTCTACTGAGCCATCTCCCCGGCCCTCATCTTACAATTCTAAGAATCTTGCAATTTTTTTCAAAAGTTGAGCTAAGTTCAAAGGTATGTCTTAGGCATGTAGCTATTTCTGTTCTTCACGATAAACAAATGTTCCTTAAAGAACTTGGGCCCAAAAAATGACTTTTTTTTTAGAGAACCAGCCAGCAGGAGACGTGACCCTCCCTGATGCCGTCATCTCAGTCTCACAGCAGCATGGCTCAGGAAAGCGGCCATGCCCGGCACGCCACATCTCAGCGGTGTCCTCCATGCGCAGGCAGCACACAGCACCCACCAGGAGGCAGGTCCCCTCCTCAGGAGCACAGCAGAACCACGCCAGCTGGTGCATGCCTGTGGACGGGGACAGGAGCGGGGGTGCTGACCTGCACAGGCTCGGGCGGGAGCTGGACCACGTGCTGCATGCGCTCGCTGTGGTGGTGCCGTGACTCCTCCTCGTAGACCACATCCCTCTCGTGCTGGGGCAGGCTCAGGAAGCGGCGGATGGTGCAGAGGTTCTCCCACAGCGTGCGGTTCTCTGGGCTCGGGTTCTCCTTCCAGCGGAGCAGCTCGCAGAGCCAGCCCTGCAGAGAGGGGCACTGGTCAGCCACAGAGGGCACAGCCGCACCGGCAGGCCTGCAGGAGGTCATGCCGGAGCTGGGAGTCCTCTCTGGCTTACTACCCCACAGCCCTCCTGACAGCATTCTCGGGGAGTTTCTTACAAAACACTTTCTAGATCCTCTGGCGAGATCATGGCTCTGATTGCCAGAAGCGACCTGCAGTGGTCAGCTGCCACTCTCAGCATGCGCCCAACCAGCTGGACTCCCATGTAAGACAAGAGTGATGGCGAGCCCATGGATATGGGAGACGACAATGCTGAAGAAGAAGAAACCCACGTGGACCCAGTGCTGGCTCTCTCTGGGAAGAAAACACTATTGCAGTCAGGAGAGGCCTCACGCGCCAGAAAGACAACCCCAGCCAGGGGACAGCAAAGGTGCCCTTGCTCTGTCTCTGGGTGGCCTGGCTCACTGCCCTCGTCACCACCCTGCCTGTCACGCCACACCTGCAGGAAGGTAGCCATGGGCAACTCACACCTGCACAGGGCCACCTCCTGACTGGCATCCGGATGTTCCTGTTCCTCCAACTGCAGGAGAACGAAAATGCAATGCAAATAATGATGGATGATATGAAAATAATACAGAGGATGCTGTCAACATCGCTTCCCAACTCATGTCAAAATATTGTGCCCAGGCGCTCTCGAACCCATCATTTCCAAACGACATCGCTAATTTTAAAAGCAGGGACTGTCCCACATCACGCCTCTTTGCAAAGGAGTAAAAAATTCTCTCAAAAGGTGCCTAAATAAACACAAACTGACTTGGTGAAAAATAAATCCCAAATCCCAAGCAGCCCCGTGTCATCACTAGTGAGTCAACGCAAGTCCCTGACACGCATCGTAAGAGCCCCATACAGCATCCTAAGCCACTGTTTGTGTAGCTCTCCACTGTGTCTTCTGCCTTCACCCAAAAAGAGGCAAGATTTGATTATCTCCGCTGCATCGGCCAAGACAGCAGCACCAGCTGTTCCCATTGTGCGGCCTCCTCCTCGCGGCCTCCATGTTAATAACCTGATCATTCCATTTTCCCCTCAACTGCCGGCTGCAGCCCCGCGCGAGACAAAAACCCAGGCCCATCTGCAGCAGCTGTAGGCACTGAACTGTGAAGCCACTGGGGATTTATAAACTAATCTGTAACACAACACTGCCTTGTTTTTACAAGTGAGAGGCCACATTTGCGCAGACCTGATCTTCTCCTGCAATACACTGGGAGCTTGGGAGAGTTGGAGGGTGAGGAGGATGAAAACAAGACACCTTCTCATCTGCGGGGAGTGCTCTGCCTGATGCTGGCGTGTCCACGGGGCTTTCCAACTCAGTTAGCAGGGAGGCAATGGTTCATTTTCAAGGTGCCATGTACGAGAGAGGAAGATAAATTTTTTTAGCCCAACCAGAAAATAAATTATATTTGAAAAATCTCTCGATCCCAAAGTGTTTCCTCAAGGGTTTTTTCATACAAAGAAAAGAATTCTTGAAATGGAAAATAAACCATCTGTGGCAAAATAAGCTCCTATTTCTCTGTCTTTTCACAGATCTGAATAAGTCTCCGGCTGAACTCTTTCAAATGTTTCAGACAGGTACGTTTAACATCTCCCCAGGGAGGAGGGCACACGGAGACCCATTGCTGCGCGGAAGAGAAAAACACAACCCTGCACCTGTTAGGAGACTGCCAGGCCCACAGGCAGTCGGCACCTGCTGCTTCACCCTGGGATGGGCAGTGCCGGGACATGGGGCTGGAGCGGGGACGGGGACACGAAGCGGCACCTCCTCCACCACACTCGGGACGTCCCATGCAACGTCCAGTGCCACACTTGGTGGATCAGCTTGCCGCATGCACAAGTCAGCAGCCCCGCAGGACAGCGCCCGGCCTGCGTGTGGACTGCGCTCTGCATGGGTCTTGGAGAAGCATGGCACTCCATTTGCCTGCTGACAAGCAAGGGCTTGACCTTGAAGCTATTAGGGAGCGGATTAGACACAAGTGTGATCATGTGTGCAGACATAAGCAAACCAAATTAATTTCTGGCACAGGGAAGTGGCCACAAGCCCCCATTCTTAGGCACCAGGGAACTCCCTCAAGTCCCTGACGGAGTCAAGCTAATAGCATGTTTCAGGGACCCGGCTTGGAAGGTGGAGCACATGCATGGTGTTTAGAGGGTTATTAATCTAGTTTCCCACACAGTGTTTGCTTGGCTGATCAGATTAAGGGATGGAGCCTTCGATGGCGCCCCTCCACAGCGGGCCCCAAGAAATCTGTGACTTCCCAGCCTTGTACATATTGCACCATGTGTACCCAGCTGCCTCAGTAATTAGCTTACGAATGTATCAGCTGGCCCTGTGATTTTTATAAATAATAACTAACCTACAGAGCAGAAACACTGTCAGAGCCTTACAGGAGCACAGCTCGGGAAGCGGCGCCCAGCCCCAGCCTCTGAAGCGCTGCTGTTCCCGCTAGTGGAGCTCCTGGCCGCCATTGAGAAATGTTTATTCCTATTTGAAATGGTGTTGTATTTTCTGCTGCTTTTCTTCATGGCAGCTGTGGCTTGCTTTCTCCTAACTGGTTTCCCACACCCAGGCACATCTCTCCTCAGCACACCTGCCCCTGTGCCCCACAGCCACCTTGGGGCTCAGGCCATCCTTCCCTGAGCACGGAAGGTCCTTCTCCACGCTTGCTCGACAGGATCTCTGCTCAGCTCTGGTGGCTGACGGGTGCAGGGGGGTGCTGCACAAGCACACGTGTGGCTCAAGTGAGCCACTGAGGAAGACAGGAAGGTCCCCTCCTTGGGGTTCTTCTCGTTTATATAATTTTTGTATGCCATCCAAGAAAGTTTTGCAGTATTAGGCAAAAAAAAAAAAAGTGTAAATGTCAAATAAAACAGTGACAGATGACAGTATTCTCTATTGAATAGCGCTGTTTCTGTCGTGCATGTTCAATGGGAACTCATGAATTATTAATAAGCAAATCTCCTTTTTCTGTTAAAAACCTCAAGTAGGGTTTTTGTTGTTGTTCCCTCTGTGTTGTGTGCAGTGTTCCAGAATCATTTTCATTCTAGAAACATTGATCCAGAAGCTCACCTGAGCCCCCGTGGCCGGCTCTGCGGGTACACACCAGGGCTGTGGCTCCGCAACTGGAGGTTGCACAGCCGAGACGGCTGAGTGCCCACGAGTCAGCGTGGCCTTTACGATCTGGGAAGCCCGGGAGTGAGCGAGCTCTTGGTGCTGGAGCACAAGCAGCAGGCAGGAGACCACCGAAGTGGAACTCAGGGCTGGCTGCCGAGTCCCTTCTCTAGCCCTGGGTGGCTGGAGGCCTCTGGGGGGGTTAGCTCCCCACCAGAACTCCTGGATGCTTCACTGTAAGAGGGGCTGCAAAGGATGGTCTGCAGTACACAGAAGAATCCACAGTGACACAAGACCGACACCACTGAAGAGGACCTGTGGACACTATGGACGGATGGGCGAATTGATGCCACACACTGCGGAGCACACAGCAGCACTCTGGGGGCGGTCATGGTCCACCTCAGAGCGTCAGGCACAGCCAGCCTTGAAGATGTTGGGCAGCACCACCAAGCTACAGGCTGCGGGTGCACAAAGGGCAAGCTCAGCACACTGCAGGCTGAGGGGGTGAAGGAAAAGGCACAAACACCCAGTTTACTCAACTGGAGATCCCAACGTGGCCCTTAGAGCCAGCAGAGAAGCTGCAAGAATCAGGTGGGGCTTCAGTAAAGACTGGCAAGCACACTACCTTCCCAGCAGGGGTGGGAAGGTTTGATAACTGGGCTTCATCAAGAACCATACTGTAGGGGCCAGGGAGATAGCTCGGTAGAATAAGCGCCTTCCTGGCAAGGGCAGGGTCCTGAGTTCAATCCCTGGTACTGCAAAATCAATCGATTGATCGATCGATCGATTGATCACCATGCTGTGGGGTGTGCAGAGTGCACATGTGAAGCGGGCAGGCATGCACAGCAAGTGCAGGAGCCCCTTCCACAGCTGCTCTACCTCATCTCTGGGAGTCTGAAACTTGTTAGAACAAAGTTTCAAAAAGACAGAGACTCCCTAGAGCTTGCACGGGAAAGCAGACGTGTGGCCCAATCGTCTGAGGCCTAGGAATTCACAAAGAAAACTTCCTACCTTCAAACCTACACCCCTGAGGGAACTTAAGGGCCCTCCATCGTGCTCAGCAGCTGCCGGGTCCCTGACCACTTGGCAAGTGCGTGAGCAGAGTTCATTCACGCCTCACCTTAGCCTCTCACCAGCAGCCCAGGCAAAGGCTTCCCCTCAGTAGACACAACTGCCCTGGCCACGCTCTCCACCCACACAGGTAAGCGACCTGCAGCCGTGGCACCATCTGCTTGCCATCTTCTTGTTCCCGAGAGCTGCAGGGCGATTGGAATTTACAAAGCAAGTTGCGCTGCGCACGCATGTGTCAGGACTCCAGCTGCTCAAAGACGTGCCACTGATCCTCTTGGAAGACGGACAATGACGTAACAGTGTGTCTGTGGGGATCTGAGGGTTTATCACTGGGTTACAAGCAGCAGGCCCACCGTCCAGAGCACCAAGGAGACAACAATAAAGCCCACCTGCTCTGCTCCTCCTTCCTGGCCTGCCCTCCAGCAGGGACCCTGGCCTTGCCCTCCAGGGCCCTGGAGGGTGCAGAACTTTCCCACCTCCTGCCACCTATGTGCTCCTCCTTGGGGGCCGCTAGGCCCCCAGACAGTGGCCTTCACAGCCTAACTACCAGCCCCCCCCCCCGCCTGCCCGCCCTCCCGTGAGTACTACGGCTCACACTTGCCTGGCTGACGCCTGCTAGGTGCCTGCTTCCACAAAATGACAGTGGTGACTGGCGACTGCGCTCCACCTGGACAGGTGCTCGCTTCCACATGTCGCCACTTTCAGGGCAGACCACGTCTGCGCACACAGGAGGTGCTCTATGGAGGCACCCTGGATTTAACTGAAATCACTAGAAGACAAAGGAAT